CTCTATGGAAAGGTTCGCAGAAGAATGAATGCGAAGTGTGTGTATGTATGTGAACGTGTCTGACACCGAAAGCTTAGTGAATTCTTGCTCTCGTGCCCGCTGCTCTCATCAAATAAACGGAGAAGCAGCGAAACAGGAGGAGAAGGTGAAGCATCTCGGAGTCGTGTTTACCGGTCATCAAAAATTTGAGGAAGAGGTCGACCGTAAGACTGGAGTAGCCACTGGCGCTCTTCACTAACTAACCCAAACCTTTTTGACTAAAGCACATGAGTCTGATGACTAAACTCTCGGTGTTCAAGTGGATTTTCTTCCCCCATACTTTTCTACGGTCATAAGTCGTACGTGGACCTGGTTTCAACCGACTGGAACTGGCTTTCTGACAGGAATCACAGGTCTAATGCACCTCGACATAGTTTGGAGGCAGATATCTGAAAGCCTATGTGCCTTTTTAGATTGAGAAATCACAGCTGCGACGGTTTTGGTACGTCTTGCTACTGCTTCCAGAAAGGAAAGCGGAACAGTTACTACTTGCCGTAAACGACTAGCTGAAGACGCCGGGGACAACTAAGAATAACGTTGCCTAAAACAAGTGTATAAGGGGGTTCTGCACGAAACTCGAGTCATCTTCTGTCGTACATCAAACGCTGGCACAAGACGTGGGAACTTTAGAGACACAGAGTAACACTTATTCCGGTGCAACCAGAAGGGATAAGTGGTCACTGAAACTTACAAACGAAAGTTTACTGTTTCCATTCGTCCGAGTCTTTAGGATCCACGGACAGCAATTGTAAAATTGGCATCGGAAAAGTTCAATTCTAGTGAAAAAGGAAAATGGCAAAACAGAGAGACTACTAGAAAAAAACTGATTAGTCAGGATTCGAATTTTGACAACCTGCAAACTAACGATTTGTTGCAAATATATGTTGAATGCTAAGCGAAATAAACTCAATATGAGGATGAAATTTATATATTTAGAGTTGAATATAGAGCGAATCAACAGAATGAAGGCGATATTTCTGTGTTGATATCTGGAAGCTTCCTTTTAACAGAAACATGATATGGTTTAAAATTCTAATATAGATGTCAGGAATAATCATTTTCTGAGTGGCGCAGAAATGAACAAACTTCAGCATTCAGAAAAATTTTTTACCTGAGTATAGACAATTGTTTTCAATGTTTTTTACAATACATACTGTTCCTTATGGAGTGCTAAAGTTTTGTTTGAAAGCAAATTTTCTGATTCGTTGCCCTCATTTGTACCTAAGAGAATGATGTTTCCAGAACTTCCGAATACGAACCTGAAATTAAACCTCTAGTGTTGGTTATAATTGAAGGTTTAAGAAAATAAATGTTTAGAACCTCAGGCATCAGTCATTTTCAAAAGCAGGGTTTAGAAAAGTAATTTGGAAGATATAATTACGTTCCTACATATGACTTAGAACAGGTTACTTTAAACAAACGAAAAGTTCGGTCTTGACGAAAATATGGTGACCTGTCCCAGCATGTGAGCAGAAAATGTCAATTATTGGCTTTGAACTTGTAATCGCTATCACAACTTCGATAAAGATTAGTCTAGTGATTGAGGCTGGAAACGTCGGTGACCTTGACTCTGAATTAACGCGCTCGACCTCTTTCAATCTGTGCAGCAAATCGCTGTTTACCATCGACATCGGCTTTACTGAAGTCTATCTTACCTTACAGCCGGCGCAGATAGTTGGCTAATGCGACACTGCAGGTTGCAATAGCCGGTTCAGATAAAAATAAGGCTATGTAATTTTAGTCATCTCTACAAAATGGCCTAGCAACATCCCAAGATATTTTTCCATCTGATGTTGCGATAGCTCATTTATTTTCTTTACTTTATACGGAGAAAGTGGAAATTTTTTGGCTCTGATGCGTTATTGCAATGATATTAAATCACGTCAACAATAAGATCTATGAACAACACAGACGTCTACACAAGCCAGCGAGAATTAACATCATGAAGTTCATAAGACAAAACGAATCTGTTACATACAAATCTAAGGGAACAGTTGGTGATTTTACGTTGCATGAAACAGATTTCGAAAGCTTTCAATTCGCTGCATATAGACGAATCTCCAGATCTGGAGGGGTGTAGTAAAACAAAAGCTTCATCCATTACCAGTTACCCGTTGCACCTATCGTTAACAGCGATTCATGACAATGTACAAAGTTTCCTTTATCTTTCTTTCCTTAGTAAATCGGAGGTCTTTCGAGCTTAGACGCGTTAGAGTAAACGTAAAAGGGTGCTTGAGTCGTGTTTCATGATCAGACTGAACGAATTTATTTCATACGCAATGAAAAAGGTGATTAGTGAGGGGATTGATCGATTTTAACGTTTCGGCTTCAGTAATACGGGCCTTCTTTAAAGTCAGAATTAGGTAAAGATAAACCTGAGCCGATAGGTTTCGAACTTAAAATAAGCTGCAGATGACTCTGGATCTCACTGATATTTTAAACTAGAAGAAGGCACTAAGGCAAGGGTCGAAATATCAGTATCGATCAATTTCTGATCGACTACTCATTGTTTGTATATAAAACAGTTCTATGCTATTTTTCAGTAGAAGAATGCTTACCTATAAATAGAAACCAGTTGACTGACAGATTAAACAAAATCCTTTACCGGAAAGAAGCTTTCGAGAATTGCTATGATTTGTACAATGATGGATTTTGTCAAAATGAGTAATGAAAAGTGCCTGAAGAAGACAAAATACAGAAACCTGTTCAATGTTGCATAAATGGTAAATGCATAAATGACAGAAGAACGCAGTTCAGTTATTTTCGCTGACCTAAAGACGATGAATTAAATCAATAACAATAAAAGTGTCTCCAAAACGGGTTTTATTGGGAATGGAACTCGAAATTTGAATTTGGCTCATATTTTAAACAAACAGGCATTTTCCATTCATATATTTTAGTACAGACTGATGAGTGTATGATCCGGAGCAAAATTTACAACATGTATATCATGCAAACGAAACTAACATACGTCATTCGTAGTGCAAATGCTTAGGTGTTGAAAAAAATTTGGCACCCCCTAAGTAGCTTGAATTAAAAAAATCAAAATGTGAAAAAACATCTTAAAATGTTCCGTTTTGCCAATCTATTGCATGGGAAAATTCGACTAGAAGAACTGGCTGATCGGAATAGGGTAAAGGCATCAGGGGAAAATAAACCAACAGGTCGTTTGGGACAGTGGTTGCAGTGGAACAAAAGCCATTTACGGCATATGACGATTCTGAATGGACAGCACTAACTCGAGGCAACTAAGAACACTAAAAATGCGATTTTGACCAAGACTGAATCTTCCCAATAGCTAGTCTAATCAATGCCTTCAAGTACTCATTGTCCATACTGACAAAAAATGATTTATAGGAACTCAGAAGGACGAAATGGTGTAATATAAGTTTAATGATAACCCAGCTTCGTTGTATATTCTCAGTTTTCTGTTTTAACAAAATGTATTATCTTATAGTAAATGCGATGCAAAGGTTAATCTACAAACCGATGATGAGGCTATGGCAGATTCAGCACCAAGCACCGCTTTATTGTGCTTAAAACGAACTGTACACTTATGAACATGGACGTGGAAAGTGATGACCAAGACGCTTAAAGCACTAAACCTTTGAATTATTCGTCAAGGTCATATTTGCCGCAACAAAACATCTGTCGCACAAGTGAACCACGCGCGACTTACTTTAATTGCCTATTATTCGGCCAACGGTCACCAACAAAGCACTGTGTAATGAAAAGAGGATAATTAATGACGGGATGTGAGGCGATCCAACTGGCAATTAGAAAGCTCATTAAGACAATGCGTTACAAACAATTCCTGGGTACACATCTTAAGGTCCCAGGTGAAAAAGAATGATGCCCGTATTCGGCAACATGCATGACAGTCAGTAGTGGTATATCATCCGACAGAAAGATTGCTTGGTTTGAGAAATGACTAATCCATGGTCATAGTGTATTCAGTATGATTGTGAAAGTATGAACAAATGACTCTGATTGACATTCACAAATCCATTTTTAATGGGAGAATATTGAAGAATAACTTGAACATGGACAGCGGCGTCCTAAAAGCGTCTGACAAAAAACAATGATAATTTCATAATCCTCTGACGCACATATGCCTCAGAATAGCTGCTTCCCATGTTCTGCTTAAAGCAAAGATCAGAAATCCTAATATCAAAACCAAAACCAATAATTTTTGAGTTTTTGCTTCTGATCAGTTGACTAAACTATAACCAGGTTATTGATCCAGGGTTGTGAGCACCAAACAAACAACCACGGAACAACATACATAAAAAATCAGCTAGTTTAACATATTCAACGTCTATTTGTGCATGGTCGGTTACTGATACTTACTTCCCCGGCTTAATAAGCTTCTATGCACTATTATGACTAGTACTTTCCACTGTGGCATCAATCTTTCATTTTTAGATATGACACTTCTTTACCTTAGAGGGTCATGCATATGAGAAAATCAAGCACTGGAAGTGAAGCATAGAAATAAGTACACTTAAGCTCAGACAATTTGTCTAACAGGGCAATCAACTGTTCGCAATTTTTAACTCTACTGCAGATACATTTACCGGCATAAAAAGAAACGTTCATTACAAGATGCTGCTTTATTCTTGGAAGGTAGTGTTGTTTGAATACTGTTTAATCGACGTTCATGATCTTTCGCTATATATGTTTTAAACAACACGCTGTTCACAAGCAGCGACCTGAAGACTTAAAGCATGTAATGAAATCGCTGAACAATAAGTGTCCTTTAAAATGAACTGTGGAACGTCAGTGGGGGAGGGTGACTTGGAAATTTGATCAGATAGAGTTTCGCTGGAGATGAGCCACAGAATCCAGCCCGACCTCGAGCGACAGAGCAGCTGTGGCTGCAACAATGGCAGTTTACGTCATGGGGTGCCACCTGCCTAGCAAAATCGATCAATTTAGCGGAAACGTGCCGGAGGGGCACTATGAAACCGAGGACGATTGGGAACGGCGACACCGGCTGGGGTTTTCTGAGGGAGCAGCTGTTCTACAACGATCGTAGTGACACGCCGCCGGTGCAGATGGCACTCTACAAACGTTATTGTCAACCCCTGCGGATGAATCGACGTCGGCGAACTTCTGTTCGTTTGCTCAGCACTGACGCCGTCTTGCCACTACTCTCATTTCATATTCACCTTTGCAACAGTTCTGAAGTCGAACCTCAGTTCTTGCCGTCAGCCTCAAAACAAACACTTTTGCTCGTCGATTTTATTCAGCAATGAATATTTCCTGAGGAAAAAAAGAACTTTAGCACCTGTCTTTACCTGATTGAGTAATTTCCAATAAACCAGCTCAAATTAACATATTATGTTCATGCATTACAAAAACATTAAAATGATATTTAAAAATTTTCACATTTCATAACCTATGAGTGAAAGGCATTACACAATCTACGAATTCCAAATCAGTGAAAACGTTGCAATCCTTCTAACAAAAGATTTTCTTTTTTCCGCGCCGTCAACGATGGAATCAGAAAATATGTCCGTTTCAAGTCATACAAGGTAAGGTATCGATATTCTTTGCTACACCTCAAAACGAAGGCATGCATAAAAGATTGAATGTCATCGTTAATTAAGCATCGAGGAACGGGAATGGCAGAAACGCTCCAGTCCTCGCTTCATCGAATAAGTGCCTAAAAAAGTTTTAAAGGAGAATGGAAGGGTAGATTAACTGTCCTTATATTTAAAAGGGCGGGAGGGAGTCGAGTGTCGTAATCATCATAGTATCACACTACTGCCAACTCTAGGGAAACTTTTCTCCAGGATAGTTTTGAAAAGGCTGAAACAGACAGTTGAACGAAGACTTCGCTCAAATAAAGCAGAATCCCGAACTGGTTACTCTTGTCACGACCAATTTTCAATTTGCATTGGAAAACTGAATAATACCGACGATTTCAACTACCTTGGTTTGCTATGTTCCACGACCTTAAAGCTCCTTTTGATTAACGCATTCATTCAACAATGTGGAAAATTCTGAAATGCTGTGGGATACCTGAGCACATGGATTTAATTACGGAAGAGATTTATGAAGGAACCATCTCTGCTGACAAAGTTGAAAACTGAGTGGCTCCCTAATAACTGTGAAGTTTTATAGGGAAATGTGTTATCTATTTTGCTATTCAAGATTGTTTTTGACCTTCTTATCCGAAACAGTGTTGATTCTGGCAAAGACGAAGATGTCGTTCTAAACTGAAGGCTCAGTTTAAGACATCTGGCTATATATCTTGCTGACTTGAAAGACGCAGATGATATTCAACTGTGCAATAGTACGAGGAGCGAATTCTGTCGCCTGATGGCTACCGTTTGCAACAAAGATGCGAAAGCCGGGCCGGTCTCTTCCACAATGCTCCGAAGTCAAGAGTAACGAGGAACCCATCAGGCACAGCTGATCTACAACTGGAGCAGAGAAGTGAAGCGCTTCAAGAGGATGACCGAATTAAATGTCTCGACTCCATCATCACCAGCGATGGCACATTTCAATCAGTTGGATAAGAGGATCGTCCAAGCGTCGAACGCTTTTGGGCTGAAAAGGGATTTACTCTTCCCACGAAAATCTCCCTGTAATTTGCCTATGTCAGGTAAGTATGGTGTTGTATGGCACAGAAATAGTTGTTCTAACGAAGGAGCAAGAACGACGGGTGAACTTAGTACAGCAGCTTTGGCTTTGACAGATAATGAGAATTAAATGACAAAACCACATAGGGAATGATTCTATTCTGTATCGGGTGCAGATGATCTCGGTTTACGTGGAGATTAGTCCTATTAAAAAAATTAGTTGAGCACAAACCATTCACTCCAGACCTAAGCTTAGCATACACCCATCATCAGGCCAGAATGCACCACTGAAGAACAAGGCAAAGTCAGATCTACTTTCAGTGAATAAAATTTCCTTCTGCGATGCAGTAACTGGTGCCTGATAAAAAAAATACTGAAAATATGCGCATACAGTCAATATCACAATCCAGAAACGTTCTTTTTATGCAAACAGTTCAAGGTGATTATCTTAACAAAAAAACAGTTATGAATTATGTTTATGAAATTATGAACTACAAAAGTAAGTGATATTTAATAACCATTAAAATTCTAATTTCAATAAGAATTTAAATTTAGAAGTTCTTGTTTAATCTCACGATGAAAATGGACGTGCACTTCTGAACAGATAAAAGAAAAGAAGGGAAAGTTTGTAACCGTTGGAAAGTCGGTTTTTCTTATAATTTCACGATGGGAGCATTCTGACACCCTTGATTTCGTGAAGTCATCGTGTTGGGGTGCTAATCTCCTTTTCCATGCCCTAAGCAGCGAGTGCCTCAGTTTAAAAGAAGAGTCGACAGCATTTATGTGGCAAAAAATGTGTACAATATGCTTTTCCTCCTCAGAGTAGTACTTTGCCAACCTCAGAAGGAAGAAACGCGACCGAAGTTCGAATCCATTACGCTCTAAAGACTAAACAAAAGACAGTGAGGAACCTTATTTTGATCAAGTTTCATAGAAATGACTGTTTTGATATAAATATAAAATGTCAAGTTCTGCTCGATATTCCAATCTATATGACTGCAAGTCCGGTCCACTTGCCATTTGCGGAAATGTGAGAAAGGTAACGCATGACAAATTATCATTTGAGATACCTTCTTCCTTTACAAGTGAAGTGAACTGCTCTCAGCTGAAGAACACTCATATACCCCTAATTTACATTTCAATTTCCAATAGGATCATTCCTTTAGTTAGCGCTTGGCTGCAGGAACGCAGATCTTCATGGCACTAAAAACAAAGCGTAGGATGTTCGCCATGACACTGATGGATTATCAATGACGGGTTTGAAAGGCCACGGCTGATCGCAAAGCCTTCGAAAGGACAGCAGCTCTGAAAGATAGATGGAGTGTAGCAGTGAGAATGCTTGAGGCAGCACTCGAGCATGCAACGGTGACGATTCACGGTCGGTCGAATGCGAAAATAGCCTGTCTGCCGAACGACCACTGCCGTCATATTGACAGACAACGGGGTAAGGCCGAAGTAATAGCGCATCATGACCTAGTCTGCCATTCAATGACGGACAGGCAGTCGACCGTTTCTGATAAATCGCCCAAAACCTTCCGGTCCATTTAACGGCACTCACCGTTCATTCATACGCAAAGAGTCAATCTCGCAAAATCATCTTCGGTTAGCTGATGGAGAATAGGGATAAGTTTCAGAATAAAATCGCTGCTTCTCGCGACATCCGTCAAAAGATGGCATTTCAACCTTCCAAAATTTCTGCTGTTTATTCTGTTCAATTTTCCTCTCAATCATGCTCAGTTTCTGACGTATATGAAAGAAGAGTGAGAACATATCAGATTGAACCTAGTAACGCCAGGTAAAAAATAAAATCCTGCATAAAATATCTGGCGCAATTAAAACAGCGCTAATTGTAATCTTATAACTTTATCAACGCGTAAGAAAACGACAGTAATCTTTGAAGATCAGCCAACATTGGAGTTTACAGTAACACTTTCAAAAGTCTGATACAGTTAACCTTTGAAGAAAACTGAATTGGCATGAATGTAGCTCATAATCGCTGAAAGTGTAGATGTGTGACATCGCTCTTATACCAATCATTCGGTATTTTGCTTTGGGTCAGAAGGACACACATAATGCGAAGTGATGCTATTCTCTCCTTGTACGGTTATGTTTAAAGGAAAGAAAACGTTAACAAATGCATAAAATGCCAAAAGGTAAATTCTTCAGGTACCGAAACTCATAAGTTTGCAAGTTCAACGTTAAGGCATGTCGCCAAAGCTGGCGAACGCTGCAACACAGCTTTCAGCAACTTTCAGCATGAACATTAAAGGTAATTCAATCGGATAGAAACATCGTAAAGAAAACAGTTCAGCAGTTTGATCCAGAATCAGACTTTGGATTTCGTCATCAAAGCAAATCGATGCTAAGCGTTTCTTAAGGGCGTTTCTTAGCATACTGTAAATATCGTGTGTGAAGTATTTGGGAACCTCAGCCTGTTTTGAGCAAATGAGCACGTAGGCTTTTACACATAAAAAATTGGCATAACATCTTACTTTTTGGGCGTAAATGAATAAATATCGTAGAAAAAGTAGACCACAGAACTGTAAGCGTAGCTCACGTAATCTACGCGGTACCTGCACCATTTTTAGAGCTGCCGGTACCCAAGTATACCAGAATCAAAAGACTGTGGGCTGTCGAATTCACTACACGATGCATGACATTGTAAGGTTCATTCAACTGCTCTAACACTTGAATGAATCAGCTTAGTGGAACTCTACTTACTTTCAACTGACAAAGTGGAGCCGCGATTTTCATTCGCTGCTAACACTGATTTAGTGTGATCTCCGTCATATATGGTAAACCACTTCTAAAAAACACGGTGCTAAGATGACAAGAGAATAGTCATCATCTGTAATTTCACACACAAACTGTTGAGCATAACTTATTTTGTACATTATGTCTTTGTGGTCAATAGGTTCGCGAGATCAGCGCTTTCTATCGTTACTTGTTTGCAAGTGAAACAAACAATATATCGCATTAAAATACCCCTTTCAAGAAATTAATCACGGAGAATGAGTAAAGAATGCAACGATAGAACAAAGTGGCTTTTCCTTCTTGGCGATGAACATCTGCGTCGAAACCAAAAACCTTAGCTAATGTGAAACGATGACTGGGTCTTAAAGAACTAATTGCACTCTTTAACTCTGATTACAACCCGAGAAGGAAGGATTGACGAAGCGCAATGCTCATATGAACCACTAAGTAAAGCATGCAACTGTTCATCGTGTCGTCTATCTTCTGAACGGAGAACAGCTACATGATAATGACGGCTAACCGATGATGCAAACGGGTTGATATGACAAATGAACAGATGACTGTGCAATCTGAACCATTTTGAGCGGCAAGAATGTAGGACATTTCCCATCGATGTTACGTGTTTGTATATTCAAGACGTTATCAGACCTGATAAGCTTCCAAAATTCTCTTTGCCATGAGCTTGAAATTCATGGTTTATTGGAATTTACCTGACTGTTGTAAGACTGGAACCATTAGAATGATGCTGATCTCCCAGCAACCTGAAAAGAAACAGCGGTCTTGGAAAAAACGGATGGAGGGATAGATGAAACAGACTGCATTCTCACTGAAGGGATTCAAAATCTGCTTGAAGAGATTACGCATCGTCTATCGGATGAATACCAGCTATAGCCTAAAACCATCAGCAGTTTCAA